TTAATTTTAGCAAAACTTGCAAATATCTAAGGATACACATCACTTAGAAAATCATCATCCTCTAGCAATCTTGAGTTATAGATTTGATTTTGATTCAAAACCATTAAATTTGCAGCCTTTTCTGGTATAGAACAGACAAGGCTCACAAATTCTTTCCAGTATAAAAATCTTTCATTGAGATTAATGTCATCATTATCCAAAATAGCATCAAAAAAATCCCCAATAGAGTATGTACTAAGAAGTGAGATTAAAAATTTTTTTATTATCGTCAGCAAATGGGTTTGCTGTCTCTGCTCAAGCTGAGAATTTTTTTGACGAGAAACAGAAAAGTGGGATACAAGGATCTGTAAAGAAATGCATGCTCTTGTTTTTTTTTGCAAATTTTTTTCGCCTGAAGGAAAAAAATACTCTGTGACTAAAATTTGTTGTTGTGTTCGAGTGAGGATCTCAAACCAATTGATTATAATATTTTCAAGTATAAAACTTAGATGCTTTGAGTAGAGTTTTGAGAGAAAATATTTATGCAATTGTCGATTTGGAAAAGGGCCTTTCCAATTTTTGTTTTCAAGAAAATCTAGCGGTCCACGTAGAAATTCTGATATAATTTCTATTGAACAATTGGAAGATTTAATCTCATTCTGGAGCGAAGATAAATAGCTACGTAGCTGATTTTCCGGGGAGGTATTATCCAGCATTTTGAAAAGGTATGCATCAACAGCTAGAGAATAAAAATTGATAAATAGCGCAGTTTGGATATTTATAATTTTGTCGGAGTCATGTGATACATCAAAGATGCACTGTATTACGATATATAAAAGGGATATTATTATGATCTCTTGTTATCAGTTAATTAAACGATGAATATTCATCGAATACCAATTTATGCAAGTATTTATCGGTCAAGATTAGTATTTTTACAAAAATCACTAAACTATACCTATGATGCGTTCCAATTATCGTATAGTCATTATCGTCATAGACAAAATGGCAAAAACATAGTGTCATTAAACAATCGCAAGTTCACAATTTGGTCTAACCAAGAAGAGTTATCTCGTTTTTCGTGGAAAACAGCATTGCTTGTATTTTTTGGAGTTCCAATTACGGTATATTTATATAAGGTGGTTTGAAATGATTTAAAATATTTAAAATTGATTTGCCGATTTTCTTTCTATCACTATGAATTAATTATATTTTTAATGGTAAAAAAAAAAAAAAATTCTTAATTATACCCATTGTACTGTACGTACCATTTCCAGTGTACAGCGTTAGTGTTGTTTCAAAATAAATTGATATACATGCCATTCCTTCCTTTGGGGACTCGTAAGCTTACACTTGAAGAGGTACATATTGATAAACGTTTGGAGTGTAAACAAGTCGTAGTTGAAACTCGTGACAAATGCAAACTAGCTGGAATTATCGTTAAGGCTAAAAATAATGATAATAAGATTATAGATGATCGCGAACCAATCATAATCTATTTTCAAGGGTAAAAGAAATCACTATCACTATATATTTGGTTTTAACTAATTCTCATAAATTCTTTTTTTTTTTATATATATGGTTAGTAATGCTGGAAATATGCTTTTCCGTATACCAATATTTTCCCAATTGATATTATATTCAACAAATATAGTAAAAAAGGTACAAATAGTTGCAGTAGGTTATAGAGGTTACTGGTTCTCAACAGGATCACCTTCCGAAAAAGGACTTCAAATTGATGCCCTCGCAATTTATGAGTTTGTTCGTGCACTTTATCCAAAGAATCCGGTATATATTTACGGACATTCATTAGGAGGAGCAGTTGCACTATATCTGGCATCTAATGTAAAGATTCAGAAAGAATTGAAAGGAATTATAATTGAGAATGCATTTACATCTATTAAAGATATGGTCACCACAATATACCCACAGAAGTGGCTTCCCTATAAATATTTAGTAAACATTCCACTCTTAAATCGCAATAAGTGGGATAATTATCGCATGATTCAAGGAATCAAAATACCTATTTTGTTTTTGTCATCGCGAAATGATGAGATAGTACCACAAGAACAAATGATAGAATTACATAAGATGGCTAAAATAAGCAAAAAGAAGGTATGGGTAGAATTCAAGAACGCATTACATGAAGATATCTTTTCTCATAAGGGATTTGTCGAAGCAATTAAGGTTTTTATAAATGAAACAATATCAGATATATCAGATATATCAGATAAAGATAATTAATTAATCTAGTACAGTAATAAAAACCCAAATATCACGTGATAGTCTAACCCACTATAACGCAAAAGTTTCAATTTTGATACCCCTGCGGTTATTTTTTTGATATACCCAAATTACCCCCTGAATTTGAGTAGCGTT